TAATAAAGTATTCCACAGTCACCCCAGAAAGCATCCCATCATCCCCTTCAGAGATAATAGATTGATAATTGGCACAAAGGGCTAAACTGGACCTGCCCAACAAGGCATAAAACTAAGCCTTAAAAGGATAAGGAGAGTAAATTACCTGCCTACTAGAACCAAGCTCTTAATATTCTTTAAAGGAAGACAATTCAGATGTGGGCATACAAAGAAGCAGGCAAGTGTGATTTATAATCCAGAATAAAGCTCTCATTAGAAACCTGTGTTGAGATACAACTGATGTTGGAATTAGTAAATAAGAAGATTAAAGTTTCTTAAAGGAAAATATGATTTTAATGAATGAATAGATGGAGAATCTTGGAAAAAAGGAAACTATGTATATAAGATAGAATCAAATGGAAAACCAAGAACTGAAAAAGTATAATATCTGAAATGAAAACAGTTGCTGGATGGACTTAAAAAGCAGATGAGTTGGCAGGAAAAAAGGTCAGTGAACTGAAGTTAGATCAGTAGAAATTATTTGGAGAAAAAAGGAAATAGATTGAGAAAAAGTGACTTGGGAACAGTATCAAGATGTCTAACATACAACTGGAGTTCTAGAAAGAAGGAAGAGAGAACGTTGCAGGATATTTTTGTATAATAATGGTTGAAAATTTCCCCAAATGGGAGAAAAAGATCAACCTACAGATCCAAGGAGCTCAGTGAATCTCAGAAAGGAAAAATCTGAAGAAAATCACACCTAGACACGTCATAGTCAATGTGTTGAAAATGAAAGATAAAGAGAAAACTTGAGAACAGTGGGGAGAGGGAACATTTCGTACAGGGAAGCAATAGGAATGATGACTGACTTCTGATCAGGAATGATGCTTACCAGGAGCAATGGAATGACATCTTTAAGAGAAAAAAGGAAAAAGAAACAGATGGGGGATGGAGGAAGAAACCTGATAATGTAGAATTCTATATTCAAGCAAAAATATCCTTCAGAAGTAAAGGCAAAGTAAAGACATTTTCAGATAAATGAAACTGAGCATTTTAATAATAATAAATGAAACTGAGCCACCAGGGCTGCAAGCATTTTATTAGGCAGTGTCAAAAACCTAAATGTGCAGAGAACCACCAAAAATTAGCGTAACAGAATATATTTATTGTGAGTAGATACAATTTGAATTGGGCAGAGTCAACCCAAAAGTTTTGGGAAGGCACTCTGAAGAGGGGATAGTGAAAACAGATTATATAGGCAGGGCCCAGGCAGGGTAGTCTCCTGAAGGTCATTGTAATTCTCCAAAAGAGCCCAGTGCCTAAGGCAGAACGTGGCCTCCCCTAAGCTGCTTTTACTAGGCTATTGTTTGACTTGAAGGTGACTTTAGGAAAACAGTTCCTTAAAGCTCGAGGTTCAAAAGGACAACTTAAGGGCAAATGGCTTGGGTGGGTCACCCCAACTCCATGGACCCAGAAATCTGGATTCCAGGAGAATTAGAACGGTTTTTCAGGAGGAAAAGTTTTTCGGAAACCTCCTAGCAGACTTCTGCAAAGGTCACATTATTTGGTCAGAATGCCCATGACGTATGGCAAGGAAGGCTGAGAAAGCAAGCATCTGGCATTCTCATCCTCTCCATGGTAGTGGTTTCTGTCATCAAGGACTAGCAGGGCTGAGAAAAGTCAGTTGTTATATAGGCAATCGGCAGTGTTTGCCACATATGAATCAAGTTACCTTTATAATCAGAAAGAAAGCAACAAAGCTATTTTTTTTATGTGGTACATAGATGCAAGTAAAGCAGCAGATAAGTCACTTATTGTTAGCTTGGCCATTTATAGATTTTTAGAAGGCTTTATAAAAAAGACTTTAGAAACCGTCTTGAATTCCTTCCTCAGTATGCATTCAAACATTTTCAAGCACCACGCTAGGCAATGGGTGTAAAAAGATAAATAATGTATCTTGATCTCAGCCTGCTGGCAAGATAAACAGGCAGCTCATACTGGTTTTTAGGGGCCATCTTCTAGGCAGCATGCCATCTTTTTCAGAGAAGGGATGAATTTTCTTTAGAAACACTGATTAGCAAGCAATTAATTCAATTAGGATTGTCAGGAAATTGTTTCACAGAGTAAGAGGAACAGCAACAATGGTTGTGTTGTGGATGTATTGTGGCTGTCCTTTATTGAGGGCCAGGGGCTATCCTAAATGCTTTTAAGTCTCCCATTATATGTGAGGCATTATCAATCTCATTTTTATTAATTAGAAATTGAGGCTTAGATATGGAATTTGCCCAACGGTACTCACTCACTATGGAGCAAAGCCAGGATTCCAGTCTAGGGCAGCTTGACTGTATGTTCTTAACCAAATACACTACCCTGTAGGTTCTAATGCAGTCTCTTGGTTAAAGCATAGTAACTTTTCAATAGTTTATAAACTGATTTACACTAGGCATTCTTGGAAGAATTGGATGTGTTTTGCTTATTCTTGTCTGTTAAAACTTTAGAAGTATTCTCATAGAGGAACCATTCACTAAAATGTAAACTGAAATCATTTAAATCAACTGCAGGAGAGTGTTGACTCCATGTTTGCTGTGTTTATATTTAGTTTTCCATATAACCTTTGGAAGAGGTCCAAGAGAGAATTTAACTTTCTGGTGTTTTTATAAGGAGCTCTGGTGGTGCAGTGGTTTAATGTACTTGACTGCCTACCGAAAGCATGGCAGTTTGTGAAACCACCAGTGGCTCCACAGGAGAAAAATGTGGCAGTCTGCTTTTGTACAGATTTATAGCCTTGGAACCCCTATGGAGTCCCTATGAGTTGGAATCGACTTGATGGCAGTGGGTTTGGTTTAGTTTTGGTTCAGTGTGTTACCGGGTGGAAACCCCAGTTTCTTACTTGGTATGACTCTTATTGGCCAATAAACGAGAGACTGAGGTGGAAGAACAGGAAAGGCACCTTTATTTTGTTGTACAAGGAAATGGAGTCAGTCGGAGCTGCTGCTGCTAAGACTGCTCACCAAGGACGGGCAGGCAGGTTACTTTTAACGGGGTTTACAAGTAGAGAGTTCATACAAGTTATGTCAGCAACATTCTTAATCATACTACACAGGTGCAATGCGGTTTACACGTAACCTCCAAGCAAAAGCAGGATTCAAATGCAAAGTTGGGGTGGTGTGCCCAGCAAAGGAAATGATTTTTTCAATACAGCACTGTAGGGGAGGAAGCCAGGTAAAAAATACAGCACTGTGGGGGTCTGTCTCAGGTGTTTTTACAGGAGGAGCCCTGGTGGCTCAGTGGTTAAGTGCTCAGCTGCTAACCGAAAGGGAAGTGATTCGAACCCACAGGTGCTCTGTGGGAGAGAGATGTGGTAGTCTGCTTCTGTAAAGATTACAGCCTTGGAAATCCAATGGGGCAGTTCTACTCTGTCCTATAGGGTCACTATGAGTCTGAATTGACTTCATGGCAACAGGTTTGGTTTTTTTTTCGTTCGGTGTTTTTACAAGACTCAAAATTAGAAGAACTGGTGACTGCCACTAATATGCTCTGTGACCGTAGTAAGGTGGAAAATTTGTTTGGACTTCGCTTTCCTCACTTGTTTAAAAAGGGCAGAGAAGATTGGATTAAATGATCCAAGAATCCTTACATATTAAAATTAAACCCTACGTTCTCAGTCTACTTATCTTTTGATGCTTGAATGATTGAAGAATTAGGCATAAATATTTAATGAACAAATTAGTTTAAGTTCGCCTAAGTTTAGAGAACATTTTCTTTTTTTAACATAGCCAGTCAATGAAAGCAGCTTCTAATTTGCTGGAGGCAGGAAAGATTTCCATGTAAGTAGAGATACAAAGTGGCTGATTGATGGTAAAATGCTGACTGACCTTTTGATAAAAATGCTTGACTCTGAAGTAGGAGAGGATTTCTGTTTATCTGCTGTGTAGGAGCAGAGGAGAATGGGCACAGTTTTCATTAAGAGCTGAATCTGAGGGTGGATGAAGGAACGGGTAGTGTATGTGGGTACAAAGATCTGTTAGCATTGTGCTTTGTTATCTTGTTCACACAGAACTATTACACTTCAGCGCAAGCAGTAGCAATGCTGTAGCAGAAAAAGATGTAGTTATGGGACCTCAGTGAGAGCTAGGATGATGCTAAGGCTTTTTAAAGGGGCCAGGTTTGGAAGTGGCTCTCATTCCTTTGGTCAGAATTCCGCCCGATGGCCACAACTTATTGCAAGACAAAAAACCAAACCAAACCCGCTGCCGTCGAGTTGATTCTGACTCATAGTGACCCTATAGGACAGGGTAGAACTGCCCCATTGGGTTTCCAAGGAACGGCTGGTGGATTTGAACTGCCCACCTTTTGGTTGGCAGCCAAACGCTTAACTCCTGTGCCACTGGGGATCCGTTATTGCAAGGGAGGCCGGGAATTTTAGTTCATCTATGTGCCCAGGAAGATGGCTAGAGTAAGGTGCAAAGAAACATAGATGTATGGAAAACTAAGCAAGTGGGAAAAAAAATCGGGGCATTTATTAGCTCTGGGAAAAAGAAACAGTTGTACAAAAAGGGAAAGAAAATAATGGTAAAGATGATAATACAACAAAATATTATAAAATTGGGTGGCTTATAAGAACATGAATTTACTGACTTATAGTTCTGGAGGCCGGTCGTCCAAATTCAGGGTGTTTGAAGGGCCATGTTCTCTCTAGAGACTCTTGGGGAAGGTCCATTCTAGTCTCCCTCAGCTTCTGGTAACCACAAGTGTTTCTTGGCTTGTGTTGTTGCTAGCTGCCATCCAGGCGGGTGAAAGTGAAGGACTGAATGAAAGACTGCCCAGTCTTGCTCCATCTCCATGGTCGGTTGGGATTGGACCATCGTGATCCATACGGTTTTTATTGGCTGCTTTTCAGAAGTAGATCACAAGGCCTTTCTTCCTAGTCTGTCTTGGTCCGGAAGCCTTGCTAAAACCTGTTCAGCATCGTAGCAACACACAAGCCTTCACTGACAAGACAAATGGTAGCTGGGAAGAGGTGCACTGGCCGAGAATCGAACCCAGGTCTCCCACATAAAAAGCGAGAATTCTACCACTGAACCACCACTGCCCCTCCTTTGTTTGTAACTGCAACATAACTTCATCTCACGTGTCTGTTTTTTGTCTTTTTCTCCGTGACCCTTCTCTTTTATACTTAGATTGAATTAGGGCTCACCCTACCGCAGTATGACCTCATGTTAACTGATACCATCCAAAAAGACCCTTTTCCCAAACTAGATCATATAGGTACCAGGGCTTAGGACTTTATCTTTTTAGGAGACCCAATTCAATCCATAATAATGGCTAACATTTATTGTGTACTTACTATGTACCATGTATTATTCTAAGTCCTCATATATTTCACTTATTTTTTCTTAACAATTCTACGAGGTAAATACCATTATAACCCCCATTTTACAGATGAAGCTTGATTTCACCAAAAATGTTGATGTCACTCTATTGGGCAAGTAGATGTGAAGTGAGAAGAGTGAAGTAAGAGCCAAACATCATCTTTTATAGTAAAAATTCTAAGTAATGTAAAAAATAATATCTCTATTATGTAGTACCTAAAATTAAACAGTCAAGATACAGCAGGCAGAATAAACATACTGTTTAAAACAATGGAGGTAAACACCAATAGAAACAACTAAAAAAGTTAAAACCCCTCAAGGTGACCAATTCAAGTGGAGTATGGCGTGGCCTTTGTACTTTTTCGCTTTCTAACCTATGTTGATAAAAATATTAAGTACCGGGCATAAGAGAAACTATGAAGAGATAGTAAAATAAAAATGAAATGGTAAAAATGTTTTGTTTATACACGTGCAGTACTTACTTACCCATTGCCGTCGAGTCGAATCCAACTCATAGTGACCCTATAGGACAGAGTAGAACTGCCCCATAGAGTTTCCAAGGAGCACCGACCTCTTGGTTAGCAGTGGAGCTCTTAACCACTGCGCCACCAAGGTTTCCTAATGCGTAGTAGTCATCATGTATACTTTGCTTCGTTGTAGTACAGTGATGGTTGTGTAAATCACTGAGTAATGGAGACAGCACTGGTAGGGAGCTAAGACCGAATTTCTAGGCCTGATTTGTTCTAAACTTTATTGGCCAAGTCACTTAACCTTTGCAGCTTCACTCTCTTCAAATTGTAATGAGAGTGTTAAATTAGAGATGATCTCTAAGTTCTAAAGTTCCATGATTCTTGGGTGTTAGACTAAATTTTTGTTATTAATCAATAACTCCTAATATGAAGGTATAGGCTTCAAAATTAGTCTTGGATACAGCGTGGTTGTTTACTCACAACTCACCTCTTGTTTTATGTGTACCATAGCATCTTGGGTTGTAATCCCTTTGCTACATGATTTTCTCAATGCCAGTTTATGGAAGCACTAATATAATTTAAATAATTTTTATCCAGTTTTTTTTTTAACCTTTAAAGTATAATGTAGAGAAAAATGCACAGATCATAAGTGTACATATAGTCCAGTGAACTTTTACTGTTAGCACACGCTTTTACCTTTTTATCTCGGATCGAGAAAGAGAACATCACCATTGTCCCAGAAGTCCCTTCCAGTCACTTCTCTCCAAGGATCAGCCGCTATCCTGACTTCCAACCTCATAGATTGGTTTTTAAACCACATAGAAATGATATCCAGTACTTGTATAAAATCATACACATAGAAACATGTACATTCACATATCTCGTAGGTAAGTAACGTATAAATACATACACATACACATTTATGCTTTTAGAGTTTTTTTTGGTGGGGGGGGGCCAGTTTTGTTCCTGGCTTCCTAAGATGATGCATTTAGTTTGATCGAGATAGCCTACTGTTAGATAATGATTGTATAAGAAGCATATGCACTTATTATGCACTTACTACTTCGAAGTACTTGGTCATAAAACATATAGTTATCTAATATGAAAATTTCATTTTCTAGGTCCAGTGGCATTGCAGAGCACGGATGGTTGCAGGGGCCAATTTTTACATTGTTGGACGAGACCCTGCTGGCGTGCCTCATCCAGAAACAGGGAAGGATCTTTATGAGCCATCTCATGGAGCCAAAGTGCTGACAATGGCTCCTGGTCTAATCACCTTGGAAATAGTTCCCTTTCGAGTTGCAGCTTACAACAAGAAGAAGAAACGTATGGACTATTATGACTCAGAACAGTAAGTTTTACATTCTCTGCACAGATCTACCAAACACCTTGTGGTCTAAGCTGCTGTCAGTATTGTCTCATCCTCACAGCAACTTTGGGGATGACAGACTTTGTTGTAGCCCTTTCAGAGACAGGCAAACCAAAGAAATTAGCTTCTCAATATACTGGAAGTTAACAGTAATAAAAATTGAATCTACTTTCATGGTTCACGGTTCTAGGAACTTCGTTCTGAAGCCGTTAAGGGCAGTATTGACATTTTCTTTGTTCCCCGTGTCTGCGTAGTTTACTGAGCATACAGAAGTAGTTCAGGGCCATGCTGATGATTACTCTGGTATGCCCAGGGCGTCTGCTAAGGAGAGAGAGTTTTGCTGATATTTGAGCAATCACCATGTGACAAGCACTGTCTAAATTGTTTTATAGACATTAAATTATTTCTTCCTTACAACCCCTCTATAAGGTGGGTGCTGTTATCATTCCCATTTTATAGATAAGTGACCTGAGGCATACAAAAGTCAGATAACTTGTGTAAGCCCCAAGAACCAGTAAATGGCAGCCCAGAAGCTGAACCCAAGCAGTCTGGCCCCAGATCCTGTGCTCTCAACCACTAAGAGTGGGTCCAATTAGCTAGTGCTGCTGTAACACAGCACAAGTAGGTGGCTTTAAAGGATGTGAATTTATATTCTCACAGTTCTGGAGGCTAATAGTCCAAGTCACGTTCTCCGCCATGTTGATTTCTTCCTTGTCAGTAGCCCTGGTGGCTCCTTGCTTCCTGGCAGTCCTCACATGGCATCTGTCTTCCCCTGGCTGTGCCTGCCTCTGTGTCTGATCTGCTCTCTTTGTAACTCAGAAGTGGTTAAGCTTAGGACACACCCTACACTGATTTGGCCTCATTAACATAACAAAGAAAACCCTATTTCAGAACAGGATTGCATCCACAGGTAGAGGAGTTAGGATTCCAACACAGATTTTGGAAGGACACTCTTCAGTCCATACCAGAGTGCACTTCTTCCTTCAGGGATCTTAAAACCAAATCAAAACCAAACCCGTTGCGGTCAAGTTGAGTCCGACTCATAGCGAACCCAGAGATCTTAGGAAGAGCAAAAACCCAACAAACTTGGACTCCGGCAAGATGGCGGTCTAGGCAGAAGCACCACGCCGTCCCTCCACAACAAAGATCCGAAAAACTAAGCCAAACAGAGAATCAACAATCCTGAAACCCTAGA